AGGGTTTTTCGTGTCAGTAAAGGTCAGACTGTCAGCTAGGTTGGCATTTCCTATCAGACCTGAGACTGTCTTGTAGTTCACAGATCTGTTTTGATATCTCACATGGACTCACTGTATAATGTGTGCTGCATTTGTGTTAAGGAAAGCACTAATGTTGATTAACTTGGAGTGTTAATGTATAGTAGCAGATCAGTTTTAAACCACCAGTCCGTAAGTCCAGGGGTGGTCACAGGAGTTATACAAATTACAGGACATCCAAAAGGGGAAAGTGTCAGTCTACTAGAAGAGCTGCACTGGTACTAGAAGAAAAAGTACAAAACAGGAAGATAAACATTCAACAAAAATAAAAATCTGCAGTTTCACCAAGCAGTTTCCTACTACAAGTTTCAAAACAACAGGCTTTCACTCACCCAGGCTGTGTAAGAACACACAGACAAGGATACTTTGCAAAACTAAGACGAGACTGATTTGCCACACAATAAGTCCCAAGTTAAATACCCTGAACTCCACCCCTGGTACCTCTTGGAAGAACAGGTGAGCCTCCATTTACACCAGAGGCAAGCCAGGGTCTGTCTTAATGTGGTCATTAGGTCATTTTGTGTGGGATTACTTGCATGTAGGAATGGATTCAGAACATGTTCTGATCGTAAAGACACTTCTCACAACTTTTTTAGATGGTTTTTGGCATGTTGAAAAACAGACCCTTTAAGTGGATGCTCTTATCAAAGATACCCGGTACTTTGAGCAGTCAGGGTCATACTTATTTCATTATATTTACAGTAGATTATTTGTAGGAATAGGCTCCGGCTTTCCCGTGACAATGTATTGGATAACGTGATTAGAGAGTGGATGGATGGGTATTTGTGGAACCATTTAGTTAGGAATTTTGTATTTGTGTGTCGCAGGGAGACGTGGGTAATTGTAATCCTTCATCTGTACTGTATGACTTGTGGATGCAGCCTACAGAGGGCAGTTTGTTGGCCTGACCACCGAATGGAGTGGATATCGGGTTATTAGCAGATTAAAATAAGTTCCTTACACTCAGTGGAGCAGAGCTAGAATGGATCTTCAATATACTTTTTTTTGGACGCTATCTGATTTGACATCCTACTTAAATCCTGCTATTCCTCGTTTTGCATTTGAGATCCGTAAAAACAGTGTCACGTGCTTTGACGCCTCATGTGGTGCATCAGCTTTAAAATTGCTTCCCGTCTCTTTAAAGTGTTGCCAAATAATAAACCAGAGACGGCCAAGCTGTTGGGAGCTTGCATATATAATTAAAAATTAATCTTTATGTATATATAGGGCTGTTAATAAAACAAAAAAAAAGCCAGTTTGCTCCAAATATCCTGCCCCATATAAAGATGAAGCCCAGCCACTACTTGGGTAAAAAGCCAGGGTCTCCCAGTCCTTGTCCCGGTTTTTTTATTCCAGCCAAGCTGTCGGTTACACAACTGAGCCCTTAATTGACTTAATAATAGGATTAATGTAAACTGATTGACAGTGTTCAACTTCCAACGTGTTCGGGACAAAACAGAAAAAAAACGGGTGCATGCATCATTCAACGATACTTGTTAGTTCAATTAGAGCTTCAATTAGGTCATTAAGATTTGGCCACAATGAAAATCCACAGACATAGTGAGCCTCCAAGAGGAGCAGTCAAAGGAAAAAGCAGTGTGTGACCATCAGAAGGACCATTCAGCCAGCCTTCCCTGAAGAGCATTATGAGCTTTAACTACGTCTTCAGTTGTCACTTTAAGGGGCCAAATGATGTTTCCATGCTAGGGGACTAAATGATATCTGTAACCATGACATCTGTGTGGCGGTGTGCTCTTAGTGATTTTAGCTTGTAAGAACCAAGAGAAAGTGAGCACGAAAGTGAAATAAAGAGAGACAGTACACCATCGTAAAATGCATTTGCTGTGTTTTAAAGAGTGCCACTTCAGGAATTTTTAAGAGGAAAAAGCATATTAGAACAGAAGATAGTTTGCTGAACCTCTTAGTTGTTCTTAAAATGTAGGTTAATGGTTTTAATTCTAAATGTGTTAATGTAATGGTCTTGTGGCACTTATAACCCTGAATTAAATACCCTCCAGTCTGCTAGTGTTTTGTATCCACTCCAGCTGTATATGCTAGCTATTGTTTAGGTATTTACTCTACTGCATCTTTATGTGATCTTATGGATGAATTACACTTTAGCCACATTGTGGTGCTTGTCATTACTGTACTTTTAGTGCAAGAATACAGAAACAATTCATTCTGTTGATTGTTTCTGTTTGTCTCCATCCTTAAAAACGTACAGTAAGTGAAAAACAAAACACTGCAAGTCCTTGTAGAGAAGGTCCTTATTATAACAAAATTCCAACTGAGCAGCTCTGCAAAAACTGTACACCTTCAGAGATTTGTATATGTGCTCATTTGGGGTTAGAAAGTCTTTTCAGAATTTCTTGCAGTAAACTAGATATATTTCTCAGGCATATGGCAGCACAAATGCCCCTATTTATATGCTGAAGCAGCAACAAAAAATACTGGAGATATATTTTCAGATACAGTTCTTGTGTTAAGTACAATCATCTGCAGTTGCCTAATTAGACAAAGTCTACGGGGGGCAAGGTTAGAATCCATTCCATTGAAAGGGCAATGTTTGGAAATACCTCAGTGGCTGTCATTTCTCTTTCTGTCCTGTTGGTTACATGTGAAACCCCCTCTATTAGGTTTCTAGAAAAATTAATTATCTGTATTACATTGGCTGTTTAACGTCAGGCTATTACCAAGGGCTAAATTTGACAAAATCAAAGATCTTGAGAGAATTACTCTGACGTTAGAGGTTGGGTTGCAGATATGTGCTCTAGAGGTTCTGAGCTTTGAGAAAGTGTACCATAAACATTCAAGCCCTTTAGCAGCCCAGATAGCAATGTTTACCCAATAATACAAAGATTAAAGTTAACACAAGGCCATGCATATATGAAAAACACTGTGAAACAGGCCTTTCACAATCAACCTTTTTGTCTATGGGTAAGGTCTAGGTTGGTTCCCATGGTTACAATGGATTCCCATTACGCTTCAATTACCGTGCCCCACGCTCCCTTGTTCCCATGTTGGCCAGTGCTGAAATGTGGTCTCTTGCCCGAGAAATGGTTTTAAATGGCACTTTCTCACCGGAGCAGGAGCGGGAAGGCCTTTCTTGCAGCGCTCTGTCCTGCTTGTTCCGCGGCCCAGAGGGGCAAGAACGAGGAAGAGGCTGATAAAAAAATGTCTGTCTCCTCTGTGTGCGGGAGCCGGGCAGCCCCCCCCACGACTGTGTTTGGTTGTTGAAATTGAAAGACCACTGCTAGGGTTCAAGATAAAGGCTCTCTGTGTGGCATGAAGAGGTTTTTGAGGTGAGGGACCTTGACCTGGTTTGCCCGCCATCACGGCTGCAACGCTTTGTTTTTCAAGAGCACAGGCAAGCGGAGGAACGCTCTCCGCCGGACAGGAGGGCGACAGCTGTCCGCCTGATAGGTGAAGTGGAGTCTTGCTTGCACTCGAGTGCTCTTTATCTTGTTCACTTTGTTTCTCTCGCAAAATGAACCCTAATTGGTCGTTTAGCAAACTAAATGATGCGTTATTAAAAAAAAAACCTCAGGGTTTGTATACGGACATGCGGGCACTTTTGGAGAGGTATGTGAAGGTTTGGAAAATGGTTGCGAAGATCTCGGACCTCCTTATAGCTGTTGCTTACTTAATGACAGAGTAAGGCAGTGGGTCAAACAGCAGCCTGGCTAGTCTTGCCACATGAAGTCGGATAACTGTACATCGATGGGGCAGTTATGTTTGCATGTTTTATTGCTCAAATTGGCATTTTAAATTTTTGCCCATTCAATTTGGGTTTTTCCAGGTATTCGTTAACACAAAAAAGGATTTCTGAAGCAAAGGGAAAAGCTTCCGTATCCGTTTTGAAATGTTTTGAACGAGAGGTGTCCATCATCCAGACGTTTCTGGAAATCCAGCCTGGGTCAGTTTTCACAGCAGGGCTGGGACGTTTGTTCTGGGTTCCCATAATCCTTAGTGTAAAGAATAGTTGCTGTTCCCAGTTTTAACTGCACGGAACAATTGCTTGTAAAGTAAGGGAACAAGTAATATGTTTATTCCATGCTGAAAAAAAAGAAGAAAGGAACACAACGTTTCGGCCGTGAAGCCTTCTTCAGGTGTGAGAGAGACAGGGCAGTAGGCAAAGGTAAAGTAGCGGGAGAACAAAGGTTGGGAGGGAGGAGGAGTGAGAGGCGGGAACAGGGGACAGAAAGAGAGGCCAATCAAGGGGTGTGAAGTCAGAATGGGTGCAGAGAGGTGTAAAGGTGTAAATGCTTGTAAAGTATGCAAGGCAGGGTGACAGGGGTTATTTTGTGCTTTGACAGTGCAAGATGCCTATACTGCAAAAAAAAACGCCACCACTTGAACATTAATAGATTCTGTGCATCACCCAGCAATGCCAGCGTTACGTGCTGATAGGAGTATACCAAGTGCCCACAGAAGTTCTGAAACGTTGGCCACTTCTCCGTGCTCTCAGTTCAAGTCAGAAACACCTGTGAAATACAGTAGTGGTTAATGACGTCATCACTGCAGTGAAACAGTTAAGCATTCTCCATGTAAATTAAGCTTCTGAATGATATTATTGAACTGAAATATTGCTGTGTAAACAATCCTTCTACTTATTCACAGAAATTTCATATAACAAAAAGCTCCACCGATAAAACCATTGGAATAAAGCACAAAATGGGGGGGATGGAAAGAGTGTGTGTTTTGTGTGCTCTTATGAGACAATGAAGAAATGTACCATGGCTAATCATTACAGTACAAGAAATCTCAAAGTGACTTTTTGTAAGAATTGGTAAAAAAAAAATCTGTTAAAATGATAAAGGTACAGTTCATATTTTAAGGGCAATAGAGGTTTGTTTGCAACTGTGAGATGAATGTGGCAATCATTTTTTTGTAACCTTATTATTTGTATGTTTTCCCCTCAGAGGTCAAGACTCCCATATACGCTATGAACACGTTTACATGCAGGAGCCCAGCAGCCAGTCCGAAGTGGAGTATGCAGAGGCCAAGCGGCCCAGACTGGACCTGGGGGCGGAGTCACTGATACGACACCCCACTCACCTGACCCCAGCTCAGATGGGCGGAGCCGAGGACATGTCAAAGGTCAGTAGGACGTTTCTCTCAAAGACCCGACATAGGAGATGGGTTGCTGGCAGAGTTTTCATGGGGAATGATATTTAAAAAGAAAACCAATTTTTCTTTACTCTATTTGATTGGTTGAGAAAAGTTCTTCTTCTGGTGCTTTATATGAGAAAAAAAATGCATTTTCATTAAAAAACAAAATGTGTAAGAAAAATAACACCAGCATTTGACTTTTACAAAGTTTTCACATTTTGGTTTATGCTATATGTGTAGTGATCTTGGATCAGTTTCTGTGAACTCATAGATAAAGACTCAACCATTTTTAATTTTTGCTCATATATAGAATATATACAGTATTGCAGTTTTTTGTATAAGGTCTTAATTTTATTGAACTCTAAAGAATTATTCCATTTGCCCTGATAGATAAGAAAATGGGGTGGCACTCTGGCACAGTGCTGGGACCGTGGCACCTTAGGTGCTGTCTGAGTGGAGTTTGTATGTTTTCCCTGCGTGTACTGTACATGGCTTTCTTCTGGGTGCTTCAGTTTCCTCTCACAGTCCAAAGACGGACTGTTTATGTTATTTGGCATTCAGGAAAAGTAGTCCTGCAGTGAGTATATATGAGAATGTTCTTATATATTGTTATATATGTTATTTGTGGAACTGTAAATTAATTTGTGAAAATGTTCTTAAAATAATTTGGTTGCTGTAGGGGAAGTTGTGGGAAAGTAGAGGTTGTTATTAGAATAATGGTCTTTGATTTTTTTACTTTTAAATATCTGCTGGGCACTTCTTGCATTTTTATATCTACTGTATTAACTATACCTCCTTTTTGAAAACCCTCTGCAATATGAACTCTCTGAATCAACATTCCAGTTATTTATCATATTATACAAGTGTGGTTGTTGATTAGGTAATGTAAGTTGTTGTAAGCCTACTGTATTTGGAACTGTGGCAGGCAAACCAGGAACAGGTGGTGTATTTAATAAGTTAATCACGTGTAGAAATCAATTAACTTCAAAGTGTACAATGTAATATATTTAGACAGTGCAATGTTTAAAATTAATGGCAGCAAGCAATGACACGGCAAAGATCTCTGATTTATTCCCGAAGGACAGGTTTACAATGAGTGTGTGGTTGGTAATAATGCAGTTTGCTAGATTTACCTCAGGAATTAAACTGTCCACACCTACACCAGAAAGTTAATTAAAGATATGCATCAGCAAAAAGGTAATACGATATGTCAAAAAGTACTTGAAACACAGTGTGGTCAAGAGTTCCAGAAAACATCCTTCTGTAGAATCCTGAAATATTAGTTCTCATAAGAGCACATTTTTGTAAAGTAGTGTGTACCCTTTCTAAATGAGGTCTTATTAGCATATGTTACAGTATTTACACATCCGTTGATTCAGTCCAGCCCATAACTACGTTCCTCAACACTTTTCTTTTTGCTCACATTGTGGGCGATGAAAATATTGTGGTCACCCTTTTCTACATAGCCCATATATTTTCCACTCTGTAGGTTATTTTTGGATGATTTGTATTTTTTTTTTAAATCTTGAGAGCCTCAACCGGGAAAGGCCGAACGCGATTCCGTACGGTGGGATTACTCGCATTTCCTGGGCTCCTCTGCATCGCATCGCTATGTGAGCGTGCCTCTGCTGCCAGGATTAACCTTTGCCGAGTTTTCCAGTGGGCTGGGTCAGGCAGCGATTAGCGGAGCCGGCAGTGATAAAGATGGGACTTGGCGTCCATCCGTGTGGGCTGGGGGTTTTCACAGCGTCTCGGCGCTCAGTTTCTAATTGAGTGATCCTGCGCCCCTGTGCCGGGCGCTCGGGAATCATTGGAGCTGTTTGCAGTGGAGAGAAAAAACATCAACAAGGTTCCCCCTCCCCACCCCCCCACCTCCCCCTCTGCCAGTTCTCTGCACTCATGCAATTACAGGTGAGGTGACCTTGTTTGCTCTGCCTGATTTTTTTTTTCGCCCCTCGCTTAGCATCTTATTAGATTTTGTTATGGACTCCACTTGTATCGCCACTTTATTTTAAATTTCTATTTCAGTTGCTCTGAGACGTGGGCCGAGTCTGCCTTAACTCGCTCTGAATGTCCCCAGAACCTACTGGAATATATGCCACCTGTCTAATCTCTCTCTGAAGTAAATACATTTCTACTGATCTGTCTGTATGTCGTCCTCAGTAAGAAGAGCTATTTAACTGCTAATTGGGGAAATCTGTGGGGTTTTTTTTTCTGCGAGTCCAGTGTTGGACAGTCATTAGTGAGTCTGGAGTAGTGGAAGGGTCCTGATACATGGCCACCGTCTGTGGATGTATTATCCTTTTTGTTACAATTGGCTGGGCTGAGACTCCCAGTGCAGCCTAAGTGAGAGCAGAGCTTTCAGAATGCATGATGTAATGTTGCAAAGATCAGCAGGATAATTCCATTCATTTAGAATGCAGAGTAGATCATGATTGCTATAATGGCTCCTCTGTCTTTTTTTTTTGTGTAGATAGAGCTCTAGGAATCTTGCGGTTTCAAATGCCATGACAACTGTTTTGTTCTCCTTCGGCTGTGCGCTGAGTCTCGGCTCTCACTGCCATTACACGGGGAAAAACCTTTTAAAGGGAAGAACAATGTTCACACTGGATCCAGGACAGTAGATGCTCTGAGCTAGGCAGTTATGTAGGGAGGGGGTGTAGAGAAGAGATGTTTATATTACAATAAGTGGAGTCTTTTGCTTTTTATTTAATATCTCACGTCTGCAAGCCTTTTATGAAGACTGGCCTCATGAGCCCATTCCCATCCCATCCTCCCATGGTGACACCAGTCTTGCTGCTGCTTTGTGGAGTTGTGTGGATGGCCCAGTCTACCACTGGGAAGTGGTCTGGAATTATTACGGTCTTTAGAGCATTTTTGGGTTTTCCATTAGGAAAGAATCTGGATGGGCTGCAGCTGCCTTCTCTCTGCAGACTGAGCGGAACTTGCTTCTAGGTGACGCAGTTGTGAAACTGAAAGCCAGCAGTCTACTGGTCCGCGAAAGGTCTTGTTAGCATAAAGGTACATTTGTTAGCAGTACTGGAAATGCACTCCCTACCTCTCCTTCCTTCCATGGTTGGGTTCTTGCAAGCCTGTGGGTTATTAACTGCTAACCCCCTTATCGATTCTGGGGATGTCCCCAGCACCAAGGGGTTCCCCATGAAGAGGGTGGTACTTGTGCTTTAAAAAACTCAGGGCATTAGGAAATGCTGATCCTGTAAACCTGATTTCGGAGACTTGTGCTGTGAAACACTTGAAACCACTTTCACCAGTATGCTGTGTGCCTTTTCATCAGAATTCTAGACTCAGGATCCTTCTCCTTGATGTGCTGTATTGTGCAAATGTGAATTTGAGGAGCAGACACATCTGGGCACATGAAGATTGTCTCTCAAGTTCAGTCCTCTAGAGACTTCTTGTAGTAACAAGACAGCAGTAGGAGAAGCGGTGGCGATGCATACCCTAGACAGCTATAGTTTCTTCACACTTGCGTAGAAATATTTATTGATCCAGGTTAAGTGTAGCACAGTCATGTATTTTTACGGTGTAATTATGATAACCTATTCATAAATTAGAAACTCTCGAACAGGCTCGAATGGTATGGCCTACATGAAGATCCACTTTAATTCAACTGGTGAAGCAGTTTCTCTCTCCTTCACCTGATCTGGTGTGTCGATCCCGTTTTGTATTTGGAGTGTTTCCCTGCCTGCGTGTAATATTCTTCACTTGTCTAATATAAACATCTTCTGCCAGGTGTTTGCCCCTTCTTGAATCGCATCTAGATCTTTTTGAAATGCATTGGCTTCTTTCCTCTGAAGCTGAAGCTGTTTTCGAGCTGCTGGTGCCTGCAGGCTGCTGCACATCCCCGGTGGACGCCGCACTTTCTCAGTGACGCCCTCTTATATGTGCAAAGCGGTTTGGGGGCGCAAGCGTTATGTAAATGCGAGGGATTATTATTAAGTCTCTATTTTTAAATTTTGCTGAGAGGATTTTCTCCTCTGTCCCAGGAGATTCGTGGCATTCCGCTCTCTTCTCTCATGCAAACTGCTTTCCAGTGAGTTTGTCTCTTCCAGTCAGTGTTTCAGAGCATCCTCTTGGACTAGAACCCGTGAGAGGCTGAAGAATCGCATCGATGCCCCTTTTTAATATTATCTCCACTCCCGATGAAGCTTTGGGATTTCATGCAGAGTACAAACTGTGGCGCGTTATTCACTTTGTGGTGGATATGTATGATTAAATCCCTTTAACTGTGATCTTCTCCATTAAAGGTGGTAATTCAATAAATAACATGGCAGATTTGATTCAATTGCTTAGATGAACCAACAGGTAAAAGGGATTTCATATGGAAGCACTTTCTGCAGGGACAGCACCTGAGTGTGTCATTATGATTTCAGTCTCTGATGAGGGCAGAGCTGGTTGTGAATGTTGGCTGTGCATGCAGAAAGTTTTTTTTTTTTAGCACTGCACTTTCTCATATCACATTCCTATGATCTGCCAGGTGAGCTATGAGGAGAGCCCATCGGTTGCTGTAAAGATGTTCTGAGGTCTGGAGTTTGATTTGTTTGTATAGGCGTATATTCTATGCGCACTCTGACTTGTTGCACTTATACAGCTGCTCATGAGTTTGCATGCATGTACAAACTGGTATTGTCTTTTGTGTATAATTGTTCTGTTTGGGCTTGTTCTACCGTTTGGAGAACTAGAGATTACACTAGAGATTATTGTTGCCTGCAGCAGTGTGGAGGAGTAGTTAATGCGTTGGACTTGTAACTGGGTCCGTACCCTCAGTGGGTGATTGCTTTTGTTGTGTTGAGCTGGGTGTCTTACCCAGACTTGTGAATGGCCCTGTTTTATCAGTGGGTATCTTCAGGTCAGCATTGTAAAGAAGGTTCTGTTCTCAATTGACTTATCTGATTACATAAAGGTTTATTATAATTCTATTATGTGCATGGCTGCCTGAAAGCTTGCATGGGATGGGTTTGATTCTCGAC